ACGCCCTAGGCGCTGAGGTTTTACCCACAGCGCCACCCGCGTCCCTAGTTCTTCAGTTAGAGAAGGCTAAGTCCAGTTTATTGAAATTCTTTGCCTCCGTTTAATTAAATATTTCTTATAAATTACTACATTGAAGCTGGAATTTCATGTTGAAGACAACACATTGTTCCACGAGGCAAATACAGTGCACAAATGTCCTATAGAATATTTGAGGGCTCAACGTCATTTGTCTCTTTCACATGAGACAGCACAGGAATGGAAGAAAGACATTTGGGTACAGCAGAAAAAATCGGACAAATAAGGTGAAAGAAGGGCTTGTTTGAAACAACAGCAGTACTCCATGAAATATCACGAATTGCCCTGCCAGTCTATCCCCACCTCAGTTTCACCACAATGCCCATGGGCATTGCAGATGCTGTCAATCAGGTACAAAGTTGGAACATCACATTCACATATATTTATCTTTCCAGTGATCTTGTGATGCTGGAACCTGTTTACATTCTGGTATCCCACCAATTCTACGTTTAGTTTCCAGAGCTTAACTATGAAAAAGCACCTTGCTCCATCTGTCCTGAATCTTCCAACATTCAATTAAGTTCTATTGTTATCAGAGAGGGAACAAAAACTTTTCTCTGTCCATTTTGTCCAGCCATGCATAATCTTATACACCTCTCACATCTGTTTTTTGCTTCTCCTCTAAACTAAAATGCCCCAAATTTCATAAATTTCCTGGGGGGGGGGAGTAATTCCATTCCCTTCAGCATCTTGATTCCTCTTTTCTGAAAATTTTCTGAATATATAATACCTTTTTAGTGGTGAGGTGACCATACTCATTATTGCAAGTATGGTCTCAGAATATATTTCTATAGAGGTGTCACTGATATGGGCAGTTTTATATTGTATTACTTTTCTAGTGAGCTTAGGTGTGGAATTTGACTTTTTCACAACTGCTGTACACTAAGCTGGCATCTTTATTGATTTCTATCTGCTATGACCTCAAGACTCTGTTCCTGGTCAAAAACTGCCAATTCAGATTCCATGCGTATATATCTGAAGCTTTAAAAATTACACTTTTCAAAGGTAAGAGAGAGAGATTTTTTAAAAAATGAGTGACTAAACAACTGCCTTCTTTGAAACTGCTGGAACCACTTCTTCATTTTGTGAAACATCACATTCCTTCTGGGGGCCACAGCATTCTTTTTAAGCCTCATTTTTCAATTATCTTTTTTGAAAATGCCAACAATCATTAAATATCATTTATGATTAAAATACAGCAAATTAATATTCATTTCTTGTAGAAAGGGGCCCCTAAACCTCTAGTGGTCAACATTTGGATTTTAAAAGGCAACAGAGAGGTGATTAGGGGTGACTTGATCCTCTTTTTATTTTTAATTATATTTTATTAGTTTTCCAAAAATAACAAAGACTAAACAACTACAATACATGTTCATAATTAAACAAAGCAAGAAAAGAATTGACTTCGCCCTAGTCCCTTTCCTGCTTCCATTGTTTATCATCATAACGCATGTCCATTTTAAATTGAAAAATTATTGAAAATTACTCATTCTCCCTTCATAGTATCATTACAAGTAGTTCTAGAAGCCGGCTAATGTATTAACCTGTGTACATTGCTTCTGTATATATGCAATAAAGTCCTTCCAATCTTCCTTAAATTCATAATGGTCTCTTCCTCTTAGTTTCAATGTCAATTTTGCCATCTCAGCATATTCCATTAGTTTAACTTGCCAATCTTTTCCAGGTGGGACCCCTTCTTCTTTCCAATGTTGTGCTAGTAGTATTCATGCGGCTGTAGTTGCAGACTTCAATATGTGCTGGTATAACTGCTCCTGTAATACCTAGTTGGAAGGTTTTTTAACAAAAGTTATCTTAAACATCTTCTTCATTTCACTGTAAATCATTTCCTAATATTTCTTTACAATTTTGTAATCCCACCACATATGGGAAAATGTCCCTTCTGCTAATTCACATTTCCAACATTTCTTTATTTTTGTACATTTTTGCTAATTTTACTGGAGTTAGATACCATCTATCTATAATTTTCATATAATTTTCTTTCATCACTACACATCCCGTAAATTTTATCTCATTCTTCCCTAGTTTTTTCCCATTCCTCCATCTGTATATTGTGTCCCACATCTTGTGCCCATTTAAACATGATTGATTTAACCTCTTCATCTTTTGTTTCCCATTCTAGCAACAGATTGTACATTTTCAATATTAATTTCCTATCATTTTCTACTATTTCTCTCTGAAAAGTTGAAATTTCATACTGAAATCCTTTCTTTTTATCATTCTTAAATGTTTCATTTAACTGAAAATATTGCAGCCACTTTGTTACTTTCTCCCTAATTTCATTAAATTCTTTTAATTTTAATTGGTTTCCTATTTCTGTTAACAACTTTCTATACGTAGCCATATTTATTTTTTTCACTGATATTGCCTATGTAGGATAGTCACCATGGTGTTTTTTGAACTCAAAGATTAAAACACTTTCTAAAGTGTACCGACTCATCCTTGACTGGGAAGTCAAGGAGGAGGAGGTCACAGTGGCTATGGTTAAGTGGTCACAAGGTTTTGGGAACACAATAACTATGAAGCCGTGGGAAAACCTGTGGAAAACAAACTGGAAATTCACAGCTTGTTACTCTCTGAGAGAGAACTGTCTTAAAATGCAAATTCGGTGGTATCTAAATCCATGTAAACTGTCTAAGATGTATAAAAGTGTCCCAAGTAATTGTTGGAGGTGCAAAGAAAAGCCAGCTACTCTATTCCACATGTGGTGGCAGTGTAAAGAAATTAAGGTGTTCTGGGAGGATACCCACATAGAATTGGAAAAAAATGTTTAAAATATCCTTTAATTAAAAAACCAGAAGCTTACCGTTTGGAAATCATAGATTTGGATATTCCCAAGAAGGTAAGAGAGATCTTTTTATACACCATGGTTGCAGCAAGAGTTTTCATTGTGGTACATTGGAAGAATGACAAAGTTCCGTCGAAATTAGAATGGATTCAAAAAATGGCTGAATATGCGGAACTAGATAGCTTGTCAGAAAAAACAAAAAACAAACCCAAACAGGTATTTGTTTCAAAATGGGAAGTGTTTAAAAACTATTTGAAAAATAACAATCATAGTTTAAGGTCAGTTGCAGCGTTCGAATAATTCCAGCAGTAGTTTCCAGTATGATGTAAAAGAAAATATAGATCAAAGACTATTAAACTTTAATAAAACTTGATATGCTATGGCAGTGAACAAATAGAGTAATGAGAAATTGATGTAAAGAGTAGACGGGAAGTCTGGTTGATAGAAAAAGACCATTATTATTTCAAGATTTTGAGACTACTAGTTGATGTATCGAGTCTTTTCTTTTCTTTTGTGGTGATGGATATTTCTTTTCTTTTTCTGTTTGATGGGTAAAAATGAATAAAAACAATAATAAAGTAATAATAATCTTCTATGTCTTTTAGCAATATGTGTTTCTTGTAAACAAATTAAATCTAAGTATTGTTTCATCAAAATATGTGCAATTTTATTCTTTTAACTTTACTATTCAATCGATTTACATTCCAACTTAATATTATCATACTGAGAGCTGAACCATAAAGAAGGCTGATCGCTGAAGAATTGATGCTTTTGAATTATGGTGCTGGAGAATACTCTTGAGAGTCCCATGGACTGCAAGAAGATCAAACCTATCCATTCTTAAGGAAATCAGCCCTGAGTGCTCACTGGAAAGGACAGATCGTGAAGCAGAGACTCCAATACTTTGGCTACCTCATGAGAAGAAAAGACTACCTGGAAAAGACCCTGATGTTGGGAAAGATGGAGGGCACAAGGAGAAGGGGACGACAAAGGACGAGATGGTTGGACAGTGTTCTCGAAGCTACCAGCATGAGTTTGACCAAACTGCAGGAGGCAGTGGAAGACAGGAGTGCCTGGCGTGTTCTGGTCCATGGGGTCACAAAGAGTCGGACATGACTAAACGACTAAACAACAACAATACCAGGCATATTGATTGTGTTTTGAAGTCTTGCCTTGTCTTTTTTACCTTTCTTTTTCTTCCTATTTTTATCTTCCTCCTCCTCCTGTCTACACTGCCATCAGATTGCGATGGGTCCTGTCCTCCTACTGCACCCTCCAAAGCGGGGCCTGTTCCTCCCAAGTCTTTATAATATTTCCTCCAAAAAATTTCAGCCTCCATTGCATCCCTGATTCTATGTTTTTTCTCTTTATAAGTAAAAGAGATACCTTCTTGGTACTCCCAGCGGTACCTACTGTCACTTCTTCTGAGAGTATCTGCAAGATCCTAGTTTTCTGGGCTTCTTGTAAAATTAAGGGATTTCTGCACTTAAAATACAGCAGTTTTGTTTGTTTCCTATAATGACTTTTGTACTTGATCAGGAGAAAATGCTCAAGCAGTGGATAGCTATTGTAGGAGAGCACTGTTGTGCTCATGCCTTGTTTTCTCGGCTTCTCATGAGTAAATTGTTAGGCACTCTGACACCAGAATGCTGAACTAGAGGGGTCTTGGGTGTGATCCAGCAGGGATCCTCTTATGCTCCTGACTCCCTCTCTCTCTCCTGAGTTCTGCCAAACACTAGTAATCTGCCCTAGTTGCTTAGTGCTGTGTGACAAATCTCCCAAAAAGCATCTACAAATGCCTACTGTTGGCTGCATTTTAGAGCTTTCATTAATGTTTCCCTCTTGATAAATTGGAAGGGAAGTTGTTGGTGTGTGTGTGTGTGTTTGAACTTCTTGTGGTATCTTTAAAATATTGTAAGCCACTCAGAAATTTCTATGAATATGGATTGGTATTTACCAGTACCTTTCTTAAAGCAATGCAATAACTAATAATTACCTATTTGCTCCTTCTAAAAGCAATTCCCTTTGCCACCAATTTTGCCAAATACTCTTAATTTGATGAATAAAGGCACAGCACACAGTTTTCATTTGCAACACCAATTTATTTTAAGGGGAATTTAATACCTATAACATATTATCATGAAAAAGAGTCCCAAAGCTAGACATTACTACTTCAGATTCTCTATCGCCTAAACCCATTTACCCACCACTATAAGCCAAATAGAGGACTCAGGAGTCCTTTGAATGGCAGTCGCTCAATATTCCCACCACCAGGAAAGCAACCTCCACTTCCACAGCTGCAAGAAACAGTGGGGACAAAAAGAAAGAAGATGTAGTTCCCCTCTAACTACCCCTCAATGTTGAGCTGCTCCGGAACGCACACTTTCACAGCATCTTGCTTGGGTTATAGTGCCTGAAAAGGCATCAATATGCGTTGACATTTTGGCCATTTCACAAAAAGATGGAGTTGCACAGGCTCTGACAACCTCATTGGGAACTTCACTGTCATCTAGTAAAGAAAAAGAGAAACAGTCACATGAGTGTCTGGATAATAAAGGATGTGTGTGTAGAAGAGAGAGAACAGAAGCATTTTAATTTTTCTGAACTGCATTGCATAAGTATAGAAAGCATCACAGAATTACATCATGAGGTGAATATGAAACAGATGTTGATATTTTCTAATGCAACAGGGGCCCAATCTGTATCAATATTGTTTTGCAGATCAGGATTCCATGGCTGCTTCTTTTAAAAGGCTAGTAAAAACACTCCTTTAAAAGATAGTTTTACATGCAATTTTAGATCCATTATGTTTATAGGAAGAAGAAAACTTGCCTCCACAAATACAAACACCGTCTATCTTCTGCCAGGAAGTCAAAAACAGAGAGAAACAGCTAGCCCCCCACCCTGTCTCTTCTCTCCCACTCATTGGATGGCAATGCTACTTACCACGAACAAGAACAAACTCAAGGCACCGAGTCTCATCTCCATAACACCTGATGGGCTTTGGACGCTCAGAAACTACTGGGCCAGAAGGACCAAGGATTGGACATGTCAGACCATTTAACCGACGATGTGGATCTGCAAAAAACACCACTAAAGTCAACTGAGAATGATTCCTAGGCCTCAGTGCTCTAGTCCTGTAAAAGTGTTGCAGCATCTTTACTGCATTCTGTTTCCAGAATTAGTGATGTGATGATGTAGATCTAGCCATCATCCCTAATAACAGATAGAGAGGTGCTGGCAGGAGGGCTATCAAAAGGGAGCACTTTTAGTTGCTGTTATGCAAAGAAATGCCAGAGAGACTCCACCCACTCTGTTACTAAATTTGTATTGTGTTTCATAGATGGACCTGAGATGAATAGGCAAGTAGGAGTATTTTTAAGGGGGCCAGCTATGGACTTCATTCTTGGCCTGTCACTTAGACTAATTTGCAACTGCTATTTTTTGTGTGCATTGCATATTATGTACCGTGTTCCATCATGGATTATGTATTCTTACTGTGAAAGAATAATTTATGCATATAATATTGTTAACATATGTTATTTACTTCGTTGTTAGGTTGCATATTGTTTAGTGATTAAGGCTAATATAAAGTTCTGAATCAATAAATGACAGAATAAAGCAAGCCTAGGTGTTTGTTTCTATATGAAATAATCTCTTAATACTAAAACAGTGGTGTGTGGGTGGGTGTATACTGTATATATGAGAAAATGAGAAACTAAACTTAACTAAAATTCACCTTCAAACAAAACAACACTATAGTGTAATAAAGCAATAAAATGTCAAAAAAACAAAAACATATCAGCACATCTTGAAGTATATTTCAATTCAAGGACCCCTCCTGTTTTCAGTGATCCTCTTGCCAAGGCATCTCCCAACTCACAAAATAATATGCACCACATTCAAATTCTGCTGCTCATCTTCACAAATATTAAGTACCGGTATCTGCTTCCCATTCCATATTACTCATCCCATTCTACTCCACAATTGCAAACAACACATCATCCATCCACTCACTCACTCACTCCACAATCTCTCACTCAATCACCAAACAATGACTGCCAGTCACTCCTTCCACTCAACAGAATGCACTGCAGAAACCAAGGAGATAAAGAAACTGTTCACTCACTGAGCCATCTAAAATAACAATACAAATAGCCACAGATGTTCCTGGAAGCAATCTGGCTCCCTCCCATGTTGCTGTTTCCCACTCCAGACTCTCACCTGAGGATAGGTGGAGCTGTGCAGATCTGGTCCCTGGTACTTCTTCCAAGGAATATCCTCAAACAATTCAACCCGTGTAAGATGCAAATAAAGAGAGGGCACTCTCATCAAAGTCCCAACTCTCATTCACTCTGCAGTGTGCCTTTTGTAGTTCTCTAGCTGGAAGGCCTCCAGCAGCAACAGCTGCTTTTACTTACTACTTCTGCAGTTCTGCTCAAGCAAGATGACTTCTAAGTCCAACAAGGCTTTCCGGGAGCAAACACATGCGGTCTCATATCTCTCCCCCCATCCCTCTATTTACATATTTGAGACACAGATGGTGATGCTGATTCTAAGCATTTCCCATAAAAACTAGGGAAACGAATCTTGGACTGGAACAGTATTGTTTGCCTAAGGGCAACAAGGAAGAAAGCGGAAACCTCCATGCTATTTATGCTCTGAGATATATGCAGATATATGCACTTACGTGTAATGCTTTTCTCGTTGCAAAAATGCGTTTGACAGCACTTTGTGAAACTCCTCATGTATTGACCTTGTTCTGTAGTGAAGCTGTAATTTGAGGGGCAATTTTTAACACATCCCAATTTTTTTTGGATGTTTTCAGAGCGATCTGTGAGAGAAAATAGGAAGCAAAGGCTAGATCAGCAACAAATCCGTTTCTCTGTGTACTCAAATTTATATAATGCTTCTAGGTGATTTAAGAGAAGAGCCTGGCAAGCACTAAATGTAGCAAGCTTATCTTTAAAGTAGTTTCTTCAAGAATCACTTTATAAATATGGCATAAGTTCTTCTGCAAAACTATGTGACTATACCAGAATAGTTACTTTAAAAAAATGTGCTTTAGTGGGACAAGATTCCAATGTCCATGGACTTGTTCTTCTGCACACACAAAATGGCACCCATATCCAGCTAGCCTATCCAGTGGCCTAACTCAAGAAGCTGCTTTTTACTATGTACTACATTTGTGAGAGACAGGAGAATAAGACGGTTTTCCCACTCTCTTGATCTCACTTCTTTCTGGCTATGTCACAATAAGAACCATTTTTGTATGCAGCCTTCTATAGGGAAATGGAGTTATGATTCTGTTTATTTTTCCAATAGGAAAAAGATTTCTGTGGCTTCAGTTGCTGTTGGCAGCAGCTCCTTGGAGATAGGTTCTGAAAGGAGAGAGTTGGGAGATGGTTTTGAGTTTGGTAGTCCTGCGTGATTTTAATATGCATGCTGGGCCATCTCAGTGGCTGCTCCTGGACTCCTGAAGCCCCTCCTTAGAGAAGAGAGATTTAGCCCATCCTTGCTGTGCTTTTGCCAGCAGCTGAAGACATTCTTGTCCAGACAGGATTTGGGGGAATGACTGTTTTAATGAAAGGGCTGAGACCATGCTGTTTTTACTGTAATTATTGGTACATTTTAAACAGATTTTTTATACAGTTTTTATTCTACTAATATTTTATTCTGGGAAAAAGTTGAGTTGCTTGACATTGTGTGAGATCATATTCTGTGGTCACCCCTAAATACCCCAGAGATCAAATGAAAACCCACAAACTCAGGTTTAATCAGACAGAAAGGCTTCATACTCACTGAAATTGGTTGCATTCACCTGTGCAAAGCAACTGCCTCCTGTGATATTACATGATTGAAGTGCAGAACCAATTGATCTCACTTTAGCACAAAATAGTATTCCCACTGCTGAGAGTAAAGAAAAAGAAATGTTCAATGCCACATACATGAGTTCTTCCATCTTGGAGAAATGGAATCTCTATTTTCAGTTGGATAAAATTTTATTGGTCTCAGGATCTATGTATAGTGGTGCATTGGAAGCTGTATGCACACCGACACACAACTTCCCTCTATCTCTGCAAAATGAACACTCATGGCAGGCTTAGTCTTGCCTAGGCAGTAAGTGCCTGTTGTCAGTTCTATCTATATGGTAAGTGCATGACACATAAAATGGAGCCATCGGTCAGACAACTTTTTCTCCCATTGCAATGTAGGCTCAATAGCTGCACACTTACGAAAAGCTTCATCATAGGCTTGCCATGTCCCCACCCCTGGTCAACTCTATAAATCAAAACTAATATTTCCAAAGAACAGGGCTGACTGGCCACTGGTGGATGCTAATGGATGAAGGGAGGACATCTCAGTTATCTCTGCAAACCATGTGATTGGTCACATTCACCCCCCAACCTCCATACCTGATTAAAGTCTGCCCACCAAGGCGGCCAACAAGATTCCAGATAGCCCTATATAAGGGAGGATCCTGAGGAAGCCTCAGCCACCACTGGAGGGGACAAAGGCAATTGGGCCAAACTCCAACCCTGAGAACCCCATTGGCAAATGGCGGTGCCCCCCTGCCCAATCCCTTAGCAGGGAAGAAAATGCCTCACCTGTAGCAGTATCAGCAGCCATGACCGACTCCTGTGTGACTACCACAGCTGGCCCTTCCTCTGAAGCAAAACCGGTACCTGCCTCCAAGGCATCCAGGCATGCTAAAATTAAATCAACAACCCCCTGGTTAGGCTGTTCTATTCCTGCTACTGAAAGCTGTGGGGCACTTCCCACTGCTGTTGCCAACGTGGAAGCTGCAGCTGTGACACATGTTGATTTCTGCCTTTCCAAGGCCTCAAGGCACATCAATATAGCCCTCCAGTCTGGCTCTTCCTCCTCCTCAGAGGGGGTTGTCAGGGTTGGCTGTGCCTGCTTCTTCTGGGGTGCAGGAGCTTTTGGTTGGCCTTATGGCCTCCTCTACCCTTGCTTTTACCTGGAGCCATGCTCAGAAAATTCACCCTTCTCCCAATAAGAATCCTCAAGTTGGAGAAGAATTCGCAAATATAAAAGATTCCCCTCTGCCTCAGTCACTATGAGACAGAAGCACACTTGCAAAATGAACCCTCAGGAGCCAACCACTAAACGATACTTAACATGAGCTTCCTGGTTGAGTGGGGAGTTTTGAATCTAATCTTTCTCTACTCCTGGGCTTAGGACACAAACCACTATATGAAAGTACTTACCGATAAAGGAGATGTGAAACTGTTCTCACTATAGGCCCTAAGCGCTGCAGGCACATTCTGATCACCCTCAAAAATATAAAACTGTTTAATTTGTGCTAATGATAATTTGTACTTTTATTTAGCTAAGTTTTTTATAATGTTATGATGGACTACACATCTTAGTATCCAATGGAAGGTGTTTCCTAAGTACTTGAAACATTTTACTTTTTTGATTTCTCGATCACCAATGCACCATTTAAAGGAATGAAGTCTGAATGAACCAGAGGCAGGGGGTGATGTCTATATGTGAAAACATACCCAAAGCCAACCTCATGAAACAGAAGAACATTCTGTCAGACCCTCTTCCATGCGTTTCTGGTCTCCTCCTACCCTCCAAAATTCAGAGTCCATTTTCCCATGGTGCCAATATTTTGAGCTTCCTTTATCCCTCATAGAGCCAATATCAGTTTGCATTGCCTATCCTACTGCACTTCCCCTCCCAGATTTGAAAATTAATAATAAAAAAATTCAAGATTTCAGCTTCCAACTCACCTAGAGAAAGGATGGCCAAGAGGAGACAAGTACTCAGGAAAATTTTCATAGTGCTGGAGAGATCAAAAGCTGAGAAGCACTCAGAAGAAACAAGCAGGTAACTGATGGAGGAAGAAGCTGACTTGGAGGGATTTATAGGCCACTAAGAAGGTTGACGTGGAAAGAACTGATCCAGTGAGGGGGTGGGAAATGATGAAGGCAAAGATTGCATGCCTTCCCAGACAGCCTGTAATTTTATCATGGTTGTTTGAAACAACAGATGAGCTCCATGAAAGTTCACAAATTGCCCTTCCAGTCTATCCCCACCTCAGTTGCACCACAATGCCCATGGGGCCAAGTTGCTGTTGATCAGGTACAAAGCTGGTACATCACATTCACATATATTTATCTTTCCAGTGATCTTCTAATGCTGGAACCTGTTTACACTCTGATATGTAGCCAATTCTACATTTAGTTTCCAGAACATAATTATGAAAGAGCATTCTGTCCTGAATCTTCCAACATTCAATTAAGTTCCATTGTTATCAGAGAGGGAACAAAAACTTTTCTTTATCCATTTTGTCCAGCCATGAAGAATCTTATACACCTCTTGCATCTCTCTTTCTTGCCTCTCCTCTAGACTAAAATGCCCCAAATTTCATAACATTTCCCGGGGGGAAGGGGGAGTTATTCCATTCCCTTCAGCATCTTGATTCCCCTTTTCTGAAACTTTTCCAAATCCACAATACCCTTTGTCAGGTGAGGTGACTGCACACATTAATGCAAGTATGGTCACAGAATATATTTCTATTCAGGTGTCATGATATTGGCAGTTTTATTTTCAATTCCTTTCCTAGTGAGTTCAGGTATGGAATTTGCCTTTTTCACAACTGCTGTATGCTGAGCAGGCATCTTTATGTATTTCTATCCACTATGACCTCAGGACCTTGTTCCTGGTCAAAGATTGACAATTCAGATTCCATGAGCATATATATGAACAGTTTAACATAACACAATTAAAATTTAAGAGACAGAGAGGTTTTTTAAATAAATAAATAAATGGGTGACTAACCAACTTTCTTCTTCAAAGCAGCTGGAACCACTTCTTCCTTTCCTCAAACATCACATTCCTTCAGGGGGTTCCAACATTTTTTTAAATCCTCATTTTCAATTATAATCTTTTAAAAAAACCCAGCAATCCTTAAATAGCCCTTATGATTAAAATACAGCAAATTAATATTCATTTCCTGTAGAAAGGGGCCCCAAAAGCACCAGTGGTCAACATTTTGATTTCAAAAAGCAACAGAGAGGTGATTAGTGGTGAGTTTGACCCTTTCTCTGCCACAATGCCAACTTCCTTTCGAAGTGAAGAAATAATTAATAGTATTAATAATAATGAAAACATACAGAAGTTTCACCTGTTCTTGCTTCTGGCTTCCCTCACTCAGCCACATGAGCCGTTGGCTCAAATGAGATAAAATTATGAAAGCACACTTCTTCAGCAGATACATTATGGAACTAATCTTCAGCACATACACTGGGTGATCACCACTTTGAGGCAAGAAAACTGTTCCCACAGTGGCCAACCAGATACCTGTGCATAGCCTGAAAGCAGGACCTGAGAGCAAGACCACTCTCCC